GGCTTCACCAGAGACAGAGTGGGGAACAGAACAGGCAGATGGATGAAGTACACTGCTGAGGGGAGCAGCGGGCGGGTCAGGAGAGGTCGGCCACACCATGTGGTCACCTCCGGGGCAGGCGGGAATCGAACTCATGTGGAAGCGGCTTTAGATTCTCAGTGCTGTGCTTTAACCCGCTGCGCCACCAGGGAGGGCCACAAGTGGGGAGTTTTTAAGGGGAAAAAAGCTTTGTTGTGCTGAATGAACTAAAAAGGTCTGCAGATGGAGCACAGTAAGCTATGACAAGAGTGGTCTAGGGTGTAGTCATAAACGCAGAGGGACCAGATCAGGCAGAACTTTATTAATGACATTGGCAGAATCTAAAATGGATTGGGGGAGGAGAATACGCATGAATACTGGAAGAGGACTTTAGAAGCTATAATGGCAGTTCAGAGGAGAGAGGACAGTTGTTTGTATTAAAGTGGCAGCACCATCAGTAGACAAATACGTGGACTTAAAAGATATTTCAGATGCAACAGAACTAGGGGATTGATAGATGTGAAATGTGGGGGAGAAAAGACAAGTCAGTGATGCCTCCTAGCTTCCTGGCTAGAACTAGGTGGGTCACTTCCTGAGGCAGGGAACACTGATAGAGCAGGTTGGATGGTGGAAGGTGAGTTAGGCTTTGGGATTTGTTGGGTTTGTGTTGCCTATAAAAAAGCAGGGGAAAATGTCTAGTAGGTGGGCTCAGGAATTCACAGGTTGAAGTTGAACTGGGAGCGTTCAGGAGAGACGACCAGGTCTGAAGTAACTGAATCTTGTTTGTTTGGGGAGTGGATGAGAGTCTAGGAAGTATGTGAACAGGATGTAATAAAACCCTAAGAATCTATAGCAAGTAGAGAAGAAACTAGTAAATAAGAATAGTTGAAGAAGTACTAGGAAATTGGTTGTCACATCAGTTAAAAGAAGGATGATTTGAAAAGGAGTGTGTGATGCTGCTAGGAAGCTTAATAACAACTACTAGTGATATTATTAAGTATCTTTTGTAGAGTGGTAGAACCAGAATCTAGATAACAGTGTGTAAAAAGTAAAAGGTCAGTATTTAGAAGGAGGACATGAGGGCCCTCCCTGGTGGTGCAACAGGTTAAAGTGCAGCACTATGAAGCAATCACAGCTACTGTGGCACAAATTTGATCCCTGGCCAGGGAGGTGACCCACATGTTGTGGCAGACCTCCCCTGACCCGCCTGCTGCTCCCCTCAGCAGTGTATTTCAGTAGATCTGCCTGTTCAGCTCCCCACTGTCTCTGGTGAATCCTCTCACCCCCGCCACACCTCTAGCCTGTTCCCCAGTTCTGTATGCATAAATAAAAAATAAATCTTAAAAAAAAAGGAGAACAGAAGGTCATATTTCTACTTACTTTTAAAGACAGGCGATTTAACATATCTATACATCTACATGCTAATGGAAAGGAGTAGAGAAGTTGATGATGTGAGTGCTCAAAAACCTTGTCTTAGCTTGTGGCTCAGGAAAAGGATTTTCTTCCAAATCTAAATACATGGAGGCAACAAAGGCAGGAATTTGTACTTTTGTTTTTTAAACACAAAAAGCAACTGACAAGTTAGCTCCCCCAACTTAAGATGAAACTTCACTTAAATGCATTTAGCACTTCATTTTCTTTTTAGTGGAATTTTACTTGCTTCACTTTGGAACACAGACCAATCTTCCTATTTCTGTAGAGCCTTTCATCTTTGCTTTGTTTCATTTATTTGACCCAATTCTTTAAGCCCTCTCTTTTTTCTGAGACTTACAGCCTACTACTGCTCCTGTTTTACTTTCCATCGTTTATATGCATAGAACCTGAAAGGAAGCACAATGCAGGGCTTTTAAAAGTGCTTTAGATCAATAGATCAATGTTAGGAGCTGATCCAAACCAGTAATAGATGTCCTGCTGCATAGCAGATACTGAGATGATGATCTTCCACTACTGGTCTGTTGTATATACCAGATGAATTTATGAAATTTTTTTTAAAGATTTATTTGTGTATACAGAACTGGAGTATAGGCCAGAAGTTCAGGGGTGGTAAGAGGATTCACCTGAGACATGGGGAGCAGAGCAGGCAGATCTACTGAAATACACTGCTGAGGGGAGCAGTGGTGAGACAGGAGAGATCTGCTGCGCCATGTGGGTCACCTCCCTGGCTGCAGCTAGCTTCAAAGTGCTGCTCTTTAACTCATTGTGCCACCCAGGGAAGGCCCTGAATTTATGAAATTTTAAGTGAGTCAAGATTATATATATATATATGTATATATACACACACATACATACATATATATATATATATATTATTGTCATTAAAATGATAATTTTATTTAAAAAATCCTTTGATTTTCACAGCACTGCTTGATATACATAATACTTGATCTAACAAAATAATTTTATAGCAGCATCCTAAAAATAATGACTGACTGTCCGTATTAAAGCTTAAATCTAGTTTCAGTAAGGATATCACACTTCCCAAATGTGGGTATCACTTTAAGTTGAGTTTAACTTCTGGGATTGCAACACTTTTGAGAACTTTTCTTTCAGTAAGTAGTCTGCATCTTAGGGCTACTGTGGTCTTCATAGAAACTCATTTATCAGATCCATAGTGCAACAGAGCCTAAGGCCACATACTCTTAACAAGAACACTGAGTCAAGATTATATTTTAAATGTTCACACAAGGTGTTCTTGCCACCATTTTCTGGGAGAGGGAAAAAGGAGGGGGTGAAAGAGTGAGGAGACATGAAAGCCCTACATTTGAGTCTTCGCCCTGTCACTTTCAGGCTTGTGACTGAGCTTCTCTAACCTGTTTCTTAGCTATAGAATGCGAATGCTACCTGGAAAAACATGGTTATTAAATGAGACTATACACAGCAGTATTTACCAGGTCATTTTTTTACATAGCTATTTAGCTGTAACATAGAACTGTATTTTCAAATTTGATGCTTGTCTTTAAATTGGGTAGTAGGATAGACAGAGAACAGGTTTACTATACTGTCCACTTCATGCTTTATATGTGACAGTTAATCTTTAGCATATCTTAAACATAATACTTGCCCGAAGTTCTAACAGAGCTTGGATTTGATTAAAACATTTACACGCTCTTGAATACCACAGCATGGAAATTCCCATAAACAGTTTCCCCTTTTCTAATTTGTGATAGAAGAAAAAACTTAGAATACTAGTAAACAACTATGTGACTGAGAAATTCTATGTTGTTGCCATTTCAATGGAATACCTATTATTAAATGTATTATAATCATATTATTAAAATGTATGATCAATATGGGCATAGTGAAAATTATTAGACAGTATAAAAATCAAGTATGTATCTAAAATATCATCCAATTGTGATTTTTTAAATGACTCTGATTCAGTTAGGATAGGTGCTTATGAACTTCAGTAGCTCTCTAGTCAAAGCACAGAAAAATTTGTGTTTTCAACAGTATTAGAACAGAAAACCCACTGATACCTATTTTTATTTTTGATCACCATCTACAGCTGGTTTGCACATGGTAACCTTTCTAATTCCAAGAGACACACAGGTTGGGCAAGTTTAAGTATATTTAGGAAGCAATACACCAGGATATCTGTAGGCTGGGTAAGCCAGTGTGGTACTTGCCCAATTCCATTTTGACCTTTGCAGACTACATCTGGTTCATACTGAGAAAAGGAACACAATCCCAGGAATAGGCTTTTTCCTATGTTATAGCATGTCACATTAACAGTGTAAGGTCAGTGGGCCTCCCTGGTGGCACAAGGGGTTAAGCGCAGCACTATGAAGCTCTCTGTAGCCACTGCAGAGTTTGATCCCCAGCCAGGGAGCTGACTACATTGTGCAGCAGACATCTCCTGACCCACCTGCTGCTCCCCTCAGCAGTGTATTACAGTCTATCTGCTGGTTCTGCTTCCCACTGTCTCTGGTGAATCCTCTTACTGCCCCTGCACCTCTGGCCTCTACCCCAGTTCTTGTATGCATAAATAGGTGAATCTTCAAAACAAAATAAAACAAAACAAAAAAACAGTATATGGTCAGCAGGTATACACTTCTGGAAGTAAATTCTTAAATTCTCTTGTTATTTATAATGCTAACACTACAGAATGGCATACTTGGTTGTATAGAGAGGAACTGACTTTTTCATAGTCTGGACTGAATATCTAAGTTAATAGCTATTGAAATAATATAGAAGTCCTCTTATCAATGGATGATATGTTCCAAGACTACCACTGTAGTACTGAATCCTATATATGCTGTTTTTTTTCTATACTTACTTATCTAAAGTTTAATTTATGAGACACAACTTATAATAATAATAGTAAAATCAAACCACTTTAACAATCTACTCTATCAAAGTTATGTGAAAATACTCACTCAGTCCCCAAATATCTTATTGTATGTTTTGGGACACATTAACCACAGGTAACTGAAACCGTGGAAAGTGAAGCTGTGAATAAGGGGGGTACTGTATTACTTTCTTATCGCTATCTACACTCCTGGCCTCAGCAACCTAGGTCACTCCTTTTGCTGTCTCTCCCTCTAGCTGGCTGCCAGTTGCTTAATCTATTTTTCCTGTCCCCTTCTTGTAGTAGGTCTTCTTTTTATCCAAAACATACTTGAAATGAAAACTTTTCTGGTAGTTTTCTCTTTGACTTTTAGTTTCAACTGGTGTTCACTCAGGCCTGCCTGTAACCTGTACTTATTTACATTTACTGTGTTTTCCTTCCCTGACTAAAAGGAACTGAGTTACTGCCTCTGTGGTAACTGAGTGGTGAGGTTATTTTGGGCCAGCAGAGCTGAAAGCAGAGTTAAGGTGGGGAGGTAGTTGAAAATAAAGTTTCATGGCTGAATCTGTTCTATGGTTTTCATATTTCAAATACTTTGCAATCTAATTCTCTTTAGGAATACAATTAACGTGTATACTCATTATCATTTGGTTGTTAATTATTTGAAACAACTCTCAAAAAACACCACTTAGGAGCGACAGCATTTCTTTTTACTCATTTCCACATTAAAAAATTACATCACTTAGATTTGAATTAAGTGAAAGGGTTAAGAAAGGTCACTTTTTCTCCTCTACATTTCAAAAACAAACCAACACTTAGTCTGTAAATTTTGGACACAATAGTCCTGAAATTATCATGACATAACTGAAAGCAATTCTGCCAGATTAAGATTAGAGAGAGAGAAAAAAAATACTTAACAGAAGCAAATATTTATCAGAAATGACAGGTAACCTTGGGAAGTTATCAGCTATGAGTTTAAAACCACAGAACTTTAGATATAAGGACAGTGTGTGAGCAGCTAGTAGACAAGGCAAAGGAAAGCTGTTGTCAATCCAGAGCCGCAAGTTGGCCCACAGAGAGTTTAAGAGGTACACATCAGTCAATTATTTTAATGAAGTTACTCAGGATCCCCGTTCCTTAAAGTATTCCAGGAATCAGCTGGGGGAAGGTGGGATAACATCACCTTTATCAAATATTTGCAAAGGTTAAGCAGGTAGCCAGGAACGACTTTGCAAGGTGAATGGGAGAGATATCACAGACCTGAGTAACCGATTGTCACAATATCCACATCGTTAAGGAGGTTAGGTCTTGGTCTGGTCTAGCCCATCGAGCTCTTAAAATATGTGGGCTGTCCAAAAAGTTTTTGGTTTTTCTGTATTTTTCTTCTCATATTCATCTAGATGCCATACATTCTTGATTTGTTTTACAGGCCACTGCTTTTCTTCTGGAATATTCAGTATGGATAAAGGAAACCAAAAGGGAACTAATAAATGTTCATAGTTTTGTTTTAGGTTTCTGTATATAACTGAGACATTTTCATAGAACACTCTCAAGTTAGGGTTAAAGTGAAACTTTCCATCAGGATCAGGCAGAAAGTGACATTCTTTCAAGCTTCCCTCCTACCAGGCATCTTCCCTCAGGCACTGAGATTGCAGCCATCCAGTAAATAGGAATGGGCAGAAAGAGGAGACTTCAGAAGTCACAAATATATTTGAAAGCTAATTTTTAGCGAGACTGACAATGAGATCTTTCCATTCTCTCCTCTTCTTAGTGATGTATGTAGGAGTAAGGAGCTGCAACAGTGATTCTGGCTGTTGCCTGAAGAAGTTCTTACACAAGGCCTCAGTGTTACATATCACATACATCCCACAGTCATAGCTGTTTTGTTGAGCAGGGGCTTTTTCTTCCACAAAGATCAGTTTATTTCCTTTTCTGCCTAGGAAAGCTTCCAGTTTCTCTGCTACCTGCTTTGCATGGACTGAGTTGCTCTTGCTATGGGAATCATAATGAAAAAAGCTATTTTTATCTTGTAGATAAACCAGCAAACTCCAATGGGTTCCTCCAGCTGCCTGGTTGGAATTATCATTGATGGCTAAAAATACAACTCTCTTGTGGGGGAGGCCCAGGGGTTCGAGGAACATGGCGATCTCTGCAGGATTGCCTGTGCATTTGATAAACTGGGTGACTTCAGGGCTGATGAAGCAGACAGAGTCAGAACAATCATGAAACTGACTGTTGGCAAAGTACTCAAAGGCAAACCCAATAATATGGTCATTGAGCCAGCTTGGAGGATCCAATAGTGAGACATCTGATTGCCGCAGCAGACTGTCCATGTAACTCAAGACTACAGGATCCATTTTGTACTGACCAGACTGCTCAGAAATTCCAGAAGCTGAAGGAGAAACAACACAATATTTTCAGCTGAATATGGCAACTGACTATAAAATGTGGATCACAAATAGTAGGTATTTTTTCACAGTTTTGGTAAAGATTATATATAATTGTAAAGTATTTAGCAATAATTATTGACTAAGTAAATATTCAACAAATTCTAGCTTATGTGCTATATGCTAACAATGAATTAGAATGAAAACTCTGGAAAATTTCTATACTGAAGCAGTAAGTATGCATTTTAAATTTCCTCTTTACATGTAAATATTGGTTAAAATTACAATTGATATTTTACCACATTCCACAGCATTAACCAAATATTCCATCCTTTAATAAACATGCATGATAACAAAAGTAACTTATTTTTAGATTAAAGATGAATTTTCAGAGAGCATAAAGAAAAATGTTGCTAATTACTAAGGGATGTAATATCTATTTCAACATTAATTTTCAGGAGATAATATTTCTTATTTATTCCATGATTAAAGTAATAGTGTTGTAGTTAAAAAGGAATTGTAATTTGAAGAACAAGAAAATCACAAGAGTATATAAATGAAATTCATTCCTGATTCTGCCCAGTTATGAGCATGAGTGGTTTATATCTTTGCCCAGTTCCTATCTTTAATGTCAGGAATAAAATAACGTCAGGAATAAAGTAAAAACTGTGATAAGTTTATAACGTAAATTAGAAATTCTTTTGGCATTGAAAGATAGTATGGCATGGGAATCAGGAGACCAGGATCTAGCCCTTGTTCTACCACTGGCTTGCTGGTATCATCTAAAGCAAGCATTTAAATGATTTTATCCTTGCTTTTGTCATCTGCTAAAAAATGTCACAGATCTGCTTTACAGACCTCAGACAGTGGTAGAAAGGTCAAATATTTTTATTCAATGGAATTTAGAGTATAAAATGTTGTATGAATGATATTTATGTTACAAATTGGGTATTAGCAGGATGATTATAAAGTCTAGATAAAAGTCTAAACCAATGAAAGCAAATGTGGTTGGAAACAAACATCCATTCATACCATCTCATCTGAACAAAAGCATGACTAACCTGGAGTAGGAGTAAGACAAGCTGTATGATAAGATTAATATACTTAGGAACACCTGATCCTGGGGTAAGCTGCTAACAAAGGGAAGTAGGTGCAGAGGGTGACATTATTTGAGCCTAACAGAGAGAGTTCACTACTAAGCACTGACCTGGCAGAATAACACTTTAAAAATCACAGAGTGATAAACTGTCACATGCAGATTGAGAGTACAAGGCAAAGCACAACATAAGAAAATAATAATACTTCAGTGAAAGATGGGGCTAGAACTATGAAATCGATTTAATAGACTCTGACCATTAGACTTGTTTGTTGTCGTACCACCTGGCTACGTCATTACAACAATAAAAACTTGTGGCAAATTTTTATGTGATCAAAACCTACAAAAACCTGTACAGAAAAATATACTCCATAAGGAAAAACACTTAAATGTTTTTAAATGTTTTATGCTTTTTTTTATGGTTTTATGTTTTAAAAATGGTTTTATGTGCACACAGTGTATCATGATGTGAAATACTTCAGAAATAACATAGATTTACTTATGGGAAGATATATAAAATAAAATGGTATGAAATAAGACTTTCTTAAGAGGAAAGAATAACTTGTGCAGAGACATAAGCTTGAGCCAGGAATGAAGTTAACGAGGCATAGAGCACATTTGTTTTGGGTGGACCAAAATCTGGCTCTAAGCTTTTTGGCAGCTAACCAGAAAGTGTTAAGTTAAACATTCACAACGTCCGTCCGCCGGTAAGGTAAAACCAAAGCAACTGCTCAGGAGAGGCTTACAAACATTCTTTGTATTAAGGTCAGACAGTTTTCTCTCAAGAAATTTTCATAAAAGACACAGTGTATCATAGTGAGTAAACCACAGTAACTTTAGAGTAGATGAAATAGCTCCAGAGGATTGTTTTCTTATATGATCCTAAACAGCCACCTAGTACAAGAAATGTTGTGGAGTCAGGTACTGCGACTGCGGCAGATTTGACTTGAGCATATGAAAGGGAGTGACTGCTTGTGAAGGAGCAAGGCTCTGTGAATCTCTGTGACTTGCCATCAATGAACACTCCACACCCAGTGGGGAGTGTCAGAATGGAGACCTGCTTTCTAGGTTGCCAGATGAATCAGAACCACATCTTAACATATAACCCAACTAAGGATATAATCCTGAAAGAAGAGTGCCTGCATAGATGGGTATCTCACAACACAGGGAGTATCCACAGGCGGGGTCAACATTTCCTTCAAAAGTAGTTTATGTGCTGTCTGTTTGGTTTTGGAAACGTCCAACAGAGAAATAATGGATCAAGTCAGGGATCTACCTATTCCCACACACTATGACTACAATAGTTTAACCCCAACTATTCTAAAGCAAATTGAACCAAAGCAGTCTTTGGCCAAAACACCCTGGTCTCAAAAGAAAACTCTGAACTGCACATCTGAAAACCTAAATTTTAGACTTGGTTCTGTTACTCACTGACTGTGATCATAAGCAAATTATTTAATTTCTTTAAGCCTCAGTTTTCTTTCTGTAAAGTGAGAATATTAATAATGACCTTTATCCCTGAGTATTTGTCAATATTAAATGAGGAAACATAGGTAACTAAGATCTTAAAACATGTAACAAAGTAGTTCCAGACATGTATAATCATCAGGAAATTTATATCCCAATAACTAAAAATGATGATATATATTATTTAACAAATGCTTGAGTATTTCCTATGTGCTGAAAGTTGGAAATACATAATGGGAATAAAACAGTCATAGTTCTTATCCTCACCAAGTTTATTATGTTGTTATGAACACATAATAAATATACAATTCTTTTAGTCAATAAACACCTTCGGAATACCTAATTTTAGGTGCTTCAGGAGATACAAAGATGTACGTAGTCAGAGAAACAAGAAACTCATGAAACACAAATAAATGACATGGGAATTCATAAGAGGGAACAATCACTCCTGGCTAACAGAGTAAAAGGAAAGGAAAACTCAGATGGGAAAGACTTCAAAGAGAAAGTGGCATAAAAGTCAGCTCTTCATGAAAGGCAGATAGAAGAGATGCACAGAGGAGGGCATTGAAAAAGGCAGAGACACAAAGAAAGAGCCTTTAAATGTTAAGTCTAATCTGATAGGAATGAAGTGGAATGAGGTGTGTCGGCAAAGACTAGAGGGAGCTAGCTGGTGACAGGATGAATTCCCCAGCATGTGGAATTTATGGAGGAAATGGGGCTACATCAGTAGCAATGTCAATGATTTGGGAAGCTTATTTAGAAAGATTATTCAGTCAATATATACATGAGCTGGTGGGGAAAGAAATTGGGGGTAGAGATCAATTGGATTTTTACTGGATGTAAATGTAGGACATAGTGACCTACACTGGGGAAGTGGCAGCAGAAATAAAGAGACAAGGAGGAATAGAAAATGTAAGCAGAGTTAAGTTGTCAGAGAAGGGTAAATGAGAGAGAAGGAATTGGTAAGTGGTCTGGGGGTTTAGTTGGGGCAACTGAGAGGATGATAATAAGGGTTGGGAGGAATAGGAGATGGAAGTGGACCTAGCAAAAGAACCAAGAGCCACCTAATAGCAACGTAGGGATATTTCTATACTGTGAGCACTATGCTTGGCATATGTGAGATACAATAAATGTTTGCCAGATGAGTTAAACATTTTTTAAAAGGAAGACAGAAGATAGAGTAAGGAAAAAAGAGGACTAAAACCTCTTAAGGTTTTTGTCACATTTTAACATGCCTATTTTTGCTTTGGTTTTGTGTTTTATTTTCTTTTGTTAATTAATAGTAAATTCTTTCAGAATCAGAAGACATATGTACTTGGTCTGGTGGAAGATAAAGAATATTAGGGAGTCAACTGGGGAGACAAAGATTTCCTCACAGTTTTATTTGTAAAAGTCCTTCAAAATAGATCTAGTTCTATGTTTTGGGTTCAGGAGGCATTAGGTTGGGCTCTAATTTTGTCACTTGCTATCTGTGTGACTCTGGGCAATTTACTCTTTCTGGGCCTCACTTTCTTCATCTATAAAATGAGGTAATAAAACCGGCCTCACAGGGTTGTTAGGCAAATTAAAAACATGACTGAAAATACTCAGCACACTGAATGTTTATCGCAGGCTTTCAAAAAATTGGTTTCCTATATTTGGGGGTGCTAACTAATACATTCTAAATATTTCTTGAAAATAAAAACATTTGTCTTTTTACATAAAGTCAAAGTCATCAAGGACAGATCTATCTCCAGGGCATGACCCTATGCTTTTGGGCATTAGCTTGGTGTTAAGAGAGAATGCTAACTTCACGGAAAGTTGTTCTTTCAACTTCACAGTGAAGCAATGGTGTTAATGTGTTATCAGTATATACACACCCTGTGATTACAGGTCTTAGTTTATTATATCTCCCAACTTTGGCAGTTAAATGAACTAATGATGAACTCATAGAACTGTATAGAACACTTTCAAACAGGTTTAATTTTAACAAAAGATTTCATATTAATCTCAAAATCCTTACCACAGAATATTTCTGTTGGGAAACAAGGTAAAAAAAAAAAGATAATTAGATAAAAAGTAATAAAAAGTAACTTAATTAAGGGAAATTACAACTCAGTAGGAGTCATTCTGATTCCCTACTGATGATGTAAGGAAGGGAAGGAGCTGCTGGTTCAGTAGAAAAAACACAAGGTTGGGAATCAGAAGACTTGGATTCATTTCCCACCTGTAGCTAGTTAGATATCTGACTCTGCAGAAGTCATTCAACCTCTGGGTGTCAGCTCCATCATCTGTAAACTGGGTTATGGAATTGGTAAATAGTGGTTGTACGCCAGAACTAGGGATGCATTACAGAACCCTACTTCTGTATAGTACGTGAACCATCTCTAGGGGTGGAATTTTACAACGTTTCCAAGCTTCTGAAAGTTCTTTTAGCTCTAGAGAGTCCCATTATTCTAAGTA